CGGTACAGTGACACTGTTTGTGAATCGTGTCTTTCGACAACATGGACCTCAAAGTCAATTGCCTCCGATAGAGATCCACGCTTCACTGGGATGCATTTATCAACAATTTCAAGGTGCTGGGCACCAAGCTGGATATGCCATCAGCTGGCCATTCGCAGACCGATGGTTAGGCTGAGCGCGCTAATCGCGTCGTCGAGGACGTTCTTCGCTCGTCTGCGCTAAGACGCCTAAGTGCTGGAGCGCTACGCTGCCATTCATAGAGCTCGCTCTGAGCAATGCATGCATTCGTCGACCGGCTACACGCTGCTCTTCGTGAACGAGGTCGTTTATCCTTGAGCCCCGCTGACGCCGCCATCCCATTGTTCAGAGCTTGGTCGGGGAGGAATAGCCTAGCGGCTAGCTGATTTCAGCCCTCTTACTGTGGTAAAGAAGTCGATAACTTTCTTAATACCAGACTGAGTGTCTTACGACACGTTCGCATCGCGATAGCTGAGAACCAAGACTTGCAGTAACGTAAAAAAGATTGAGGTCGGAGACGTGGTTTTACCAAATGCAAAAAACCATCATACACATGCAATTTCTGCTATCTTTAAAAGGAAGGCTTGTCCACGGTTTGTCGGACCGTTTAAGGCTGTGACCAAGCGGGGCCTTGCGTATACGCTAAACCTTATCAAACGGATGCGCACCCACACGGTGTTTTATGTGGATTTGCTCAAGCCGTAGTGAAGCGGAAGTGTTGGCGCCGAAGTGGCATCCACAGGCGTTCGACCACATTTAGGGCACGGAATGCAGCAATATCCATCTCCAACGGCCCCAAGCGGTCAGCCGTCGCATAAAGCGACGCATTTGTCTTTTTTAAAGGCTAGGAGCCGCTCCGACAGAGCGCGATAGTCCTCAACGTTAGGCATCCGGTGTACAACGTGCTCCAAGTTTTCTAGGTCTTCCGCGCAGCAGTATGCGACCCCAGCATGACGCTCAGCGGAGTGCCGATCGAGACGGACCTCGTCCTCAAGAGCTCGATGAGCATCGCGAGTTACCGGACGTCGATCGACCTAGCCGTTGTCGTCCAGCGCCGTCTCTTCTCAGATAGAACGGTGGGGTGGTGCCCATTATCACGTGGAACGTCTTGTGGGTTGACGTCATCGCCAGGGTCAAACCCAATATCTTTTGAAATGGCGGGGATACCCCAACTCTGAGAACTTGTGGGAGTTTGAGGTGCCACTTCGGCAAGACTGCATCGAGGATCGTGGACGCTTATGATCAGAGGGATCACGACGTTCCATGTCGTCGTAAGCCCCACGCTTCTCGGCAATGGCCAGAGAAGCCGAAGGGCCATGAGCTGAGCTCAAGCTATGGCCCTAAGCTGCTGCGGTCGCAGACTGCCCCGCTTGAGAGACCACAGAGCTTGTTGGAGCGTGAGGGATCAGCCCATGCGTCGCAGAGCCCGAATTCGAAGGAAGTCAGCGACCAGCTTTTAGTTTTGCAAACTCAAACCGAGATGGCGTTCCACACGCGCGTCACCTCCCTGCGGCTAAACTGTAAGCTGCACATTGAGGAAATTCTGGTACCGCTGAACCCATCGCTCAAAGAGCTTTTCATCATCTGCAGCGGTTTCACCAGGGGTAAGCACCACAGGAATCGTCCGCATCACGGCTTCACAACAATCACAGCTCTAACAAGCTGTGGTTAATGTGGTGAAGGGATACCCCGCTTCGAAATTTCACTGGAGTTTGACTCCCCACTTTGGTGCGATCGCCCTCGCGCTCGTACCGCTACGACTTGCCGTATCACCGGTCTTTGACCCCCCGGGATTAGAGATACAGTCGCCTAACGCAACGAGATTCTCAGTCAATCTTTGTGACACGCTTTAACGACAGCTGTTCCAGCAAGAGCATCGAGATGAGCAGAGACATAAAAAGCAAGGACTTAAAGCGATGGGCTTTTCCGCGATGCCTACGCTGCGCTTTGCAGTTCCTCGTTTGACATCTGCGCCACCGAAAGTGACTTGTAGCGCTGCGACACGGGTGGTGCGACTTATCCTCTTTCCTCCACTCGCGAATCGAGTCACGATTTTATCAGCAATTTACCGGCGTTCGGTAGCAAAGATACAATACCATGAGGTATGGATTTGCCAGACCACTTCCTCTCTTGACACAGGCGGTACTCCGGAGGGCTGGTGACCTGGGACCAGAATGCACTAGAGAAGTAGTGTCTGAGCGCTGCGTTTGCTATCTGCTTTCAGGGAAGGTCCGGACGCTTTGGCGTGTCGTGGTTCACCACGGACAATTTTGAGGGATATAGCCAATAATCGCGACGTGATGGAATCAGCAAAAGTACTCGCGACTATTCCACTTGCAGACGAGCCAGCTAAGGTTGCTGAGCCAGATCCAGCTCATTTTGACAAGCTGTACGTCTTCCTGAGCATCATATCTCTTGACAGAGGAAATGCATGAAGTACGTAATTCGTGCAGATGAGAGACAAATCATGAGATATACCTTACCTCAGCGACCGACTTGGCCGTGCATTTCACGGCGAGGAGAACGGTGCCGAACCCCGGAGAGTATGACCGCTCCTATCAGAGAGCACGTACTGAGATTTGATCATACGTCGTTGGCTACGAGATAAGTTTTTCATCGAATGATGAGCAATAAAAGTACGTCAGGAGAGACCTCTTGATGCAAACAATGCTCGCATGAGCAAGTACTGCCAGGTGCACGTGGATCTAAAACAATCAAGAGCAGTGGGTCCTCGTTGAGCATTCATTTCTGCGCATTTCCTGAAAAACATATATTATATGTGAGCTCTGTGTCGTCCAGATTTAAGAGAACGAGGGGGTAACGAATACGTTCCGTAGTTCGGTGTAAGTACCTTAGACTCTTTTGAGCATATCTCAAAAGTAACAAAGTACTGGGAGTAGAAGACTTTACCGCGGAGAGATCCGATGGCATCTACCCTCACGAAATGCAGGACATAAAGTACCATTAAGCATAGTGGAGCAAATACATTTCTATCGTAAGCTAGATTTAATCTAAATCAACGTCACTTTTAAAAGTAGAAGAGCAGACTTGGAACGCGATTTCCTTAAAAGCTCTTGGCATTTTTTTGGAGGAGCAAACGAACCAATTCCATTCGTGTTTGTTTCGCGATATTTCTCATTCAAACCTTTTTCTGTTGAAAGGTGCGCTTTTTTAACCGTTGCAGCCGTTAGCACCTGTCATTAACCAGTCGTTCGACTATGTTCTTTATGAAATGGGACACGAGTTGTTACCACCTGTCCCAAGACAATTAAGCACGCTTACTGAGCTCCTGTCTAGCACTGATCCCTATGATCTACTGTAATTGGCAGCCCAAAGGCTGTCGATAGCTCGCATGTAGGCGCTGATCAGCTATGATATTGAGCTGAGGTGACACCTGAAACGCCTTATATATGCACCGCTGAAAGCTCAATATACCTTCGTTGTGAGGTCGCATATATTAATTGCCCGACCAGGGAAGATTATAATCGATTTGTCTGAGTGGTAGACGTTGAGATGGCCATAAACTCAGCCATGCCTTTAAATGAGCATCAGCGCGTCGCGCCAGCGGAGGCTAAGCTAGCCGCGCGCGTGAATGGACACTTACTTGCAATGCCTCTGTAGTGCGTTCCCGATATGAGCAGGGATGAAGTGACTTATATCGGAATCAATTTGAAGATAAGAGGATTTTTTGACCCAATGAGCCCGCTAGGATGGTTCTGTATGCTTCACCCAGAGAATTTCGTTTGCTTTTCTATATTTGGACGACACACATAACTAAAGGTAAAATGTCTGTTTTACTTTGGATCTATTATATACTGTGTGACGTACTTTTGTGTCCTTTGTACCAGGACTTCGGTACATCTGAGCTCTGTTTAAAAAAAAGATGCACGCTATAAAAAATAATTTCAGACCTGTAAAATCAGGTCATAAAACTACATACGAATTTATCAGACAAGAAAACAGGATCCTTACAAAATCGAGACAAGCTTTTTTGAACCTATGCGTCGTCTTTAATTCCTGACTGCCCGCTGACAGATGTTGTGTAAAATCCAAGTCGCTTCAATAAATGAGGGAGCGATAGTGACAGTGTCATGCTCTATTCTGTACCCGATAACATATGACATCTATTCATCGTCATCTATTTCAGAATACTAGCGATGTGTAATGTTGACGGAGGTTACCGAAATTTAAGAGGGATTGAGTACCAATTTATAACTTTTACTTACAACGTGTGATGTTCTCAAAATATCGTTTATTTAAAATCGCAATCTTGCGCTTCGGTCGACGCCTATTGCATTTCAGAAAACATTGTATTGTTGCCTTAGTACTGCTGTATAAGCCTTTCACCACGATCCTTGTAATCACAGATCACTGATTTGAAAAAAGTGTCATCGAGAAACTTACTATGTCTCAAATGTATAGAGCAAAATCAAGCATGTAACATTACATTCCATTGCATGTCTTACAACAATCTTGATCCGAAATGCTTTTTAAATGTATGCCAAATAGCGGTTGGACGATGATGAGTAGCCAGAAATACGCTCCATACAAAATTCAAATACACTATAGCGCAGATACGAGACCGATTACTAACGACTGATTTTGGTCTGTAAAGACTACCTAAACATCACGAACTTGGCTATGACAGCACCCACCAAATGACACCTTATTTGCATACGTCTATGTGAATCGTCTATCAGAGCAGAGCGATTAATCATCTGCTTTCGCCCACAATTCTTTTCCCCCCGTCCGTTAACATAATTGTTCTTTATTTCATCGGCACAATACACATCCCTTTACATCGAGATATACAATCCGACTGCAATGGCTGAGCATCCATACTTTTACACTGTAAAGTGACTACAAGAATAATGCGGGAGATTTCTTACATCTGCAAAATCAAAGAAGCTGAGCCTATCCACCCAGCATATTCACTTTGTAATCAATCCAGTCAAGACAAAGTCTTTAAGCAGCATAACATCATGAGGTCCTTCACGTCATCGAGTGTCATTGCAATAGCTACGTTGGTTAGCTACGTGAATGCGCATGGTTACATTTCGCAACCCAAGGCGTCATATAAGCCCGGCAGTATCTATACGACTTACAATGGTCTTACCAGCGCCAGTGTAAACAAGGGATTCCAAGGCGGAATCTACAACCATGAGCCAGTAAACAACGCTAAACAGTTTGCACAGCACTGGAAAGCAACGGGATACAAGTCTCTTCGCGATATGATCGATCCGATCTCTCCTGGTTATGGCTTTTCACTGGACACGGCAAAGCCTGTTAATGTAAGAAACTACAAGGAGATGTGGTGGCAGAACGACGAGCTCAAGGAGGGTTTTCTAGGCTCACATCACGTATGTATTCGCACTTGGGTGTTTTGAATCTTGCTCATAATTGCGAAATACTATTTGTGTAGGGCCCGTGTGAAGCTTGGGTCGACAATAAGATGGTATTTCACTATGATGACTGTGTTGCCAATTTTCCATCGTTTCCAGCTAAAATTCCAACGGATTTCTCAGTATGCAAAAGCAACAAGTGTCTTTTTGTATTTTATTGGCTGGCGGTTCACTCACCAAATTGGCAAATTTACAGTAAGTGAAAGATCTTGTGTTTGCTTCGTCAACAAATGATGATATGAAATTGTCTTTGTAGAGCAATGTGTTCCTATCACAAACGGTGGGACGGGTGAGGTCGGAAACGAGGCATCAGGGTTCGCCCCAGTAGCTCAGCATTCTGAGGTCGGAAACGAGGCATCAGCTCCGCCAATCGCTCCTCAGACACCCTCAACTGCAATGAGTCCTGTAATGTCGGGACACGGGACTAGTTCGTGCAAGCGGCGTACGCGGGGTTAGTGATCGTCCCAGTGGATTTTTGTTGGACTTTATTGCAAAATTTGAAGCGTTTAATGCTGTGCGTAAATAAAGTTGATGTTGTTAAATGTTTGTGGGAACAACTGACTGAATTTGTCAAAAGTTTCTTATCTCTCGAGGTTATTATTTTGAAAATGATGACTCTTTTGCATCGATTCACCGATCTGAGAATAGTTATTATGAATGATTTATGGTAATAAGCAAAATCGTGTTGCTGGATAGAGAAAGGGCAACATTGTGAGAGTTGTGGTCTCGGCTAATGCTGCTGAACGAGATCTTGTGAGAATTGTTAAAGCGTGATATCGGCTAAAGCTGTTAAACGAGATCATGTCTCTTAAGTTCACAGAAATTAAAGCGCACCATTAGTAGAAGTTGTCATACTTGGTGCATGAGACCCAATGCTAATGTGATATGTGTTTCACTCACTTGATTGTGGGGCAAATCTACCAATCTAGAATTGGTGGCAAGGTGCGCAAGGCCTCCAGAGTAAAAACTCCAACTTTCACACTTTCTGGAGCCGGATGACCTAAATATATAATTATAATTTGGTCTTCTACAGATAAAGGGATGTTTAAACCTTGTTTTAACATTTCGGTTAGTCTAACTCCTCTATTTAATTGTTGTTGACAACATCATGTTGCGATACAAGCGTCGAAACAGAACAAAAAAAGCAACTTTTCTCGTTGTCTTATGTTTTGATTGGCTCTATGACCCTCAGACAAACGCGTATGTTTTAATACAGAACACCCATATGCATCAATTTTGCTGACATCAGGAAGCTGTCGATGGTCACTGATAGCGAGTCGAACCCTCGATTATACGTGGATAGTGTTCGCGATTGAGTTTGAAGATGAGCGAAAATCATCTATCGGCTTTCGAATGATTAGGTTACGATTATACACTCTAGATATCCATACATCTGAAAAATTCATACATTTTTCACTTTAATACATTTGCTCCGGCTATAGTGAGGTCGTGCTTCCCCATTCCTGTTGTGAAAGCACACAAATGAGTAAGTAACACAAGAGATTTGTAGCGCTCAACTACCTAAGCCAGTGCAACAATCTAAAAAAACGTGACGATCATTGGGATATGCCAATGGCACGTGATTGCAGCTACTGATGTCGTGATAGCTGTGGATGTGGCGCTCTGTGAATTTTTGAGGTCGTCTTAATTGTCGCCTTGGTCTTCCGGTACAAGCAGCCTGCTCTAAAAGACTTCAATGGCTTTACAGTTCTCTCATTAAAGCACAGCCAAAGCTTTATCCGCGAAACGAAAGAGTGAAGTCTGCGAGATTTCTGTCAAAAGCAGACGAAATTGTTTATAATCAGTAAAGTTTAATCGAATTTTCACAGAACCTGTTGTGGCTAGCCCACTGTACGTTGGTTACGATTCTTTATTTGCTGTTGTTGGCATTGATCGCAAAGCTCGGCGTGATTAATTTTCAAACTGCGCTTGGCACCACCACCTCGGCACTTGGTCTGGTGTCGTTAAAATTTCTTACTATTATTTGAGAATTTGGTAAGTAAAACATATACAGGCAAGAAAAATAGATCATTGAGCAACGAGAATAGCATTGAAATTGTCACCCGTTGGCTATTCAATGATATGGACGCAAACGAATTGGTGGAAATGGAAATGACGTGTGGGCAGAGAGCACTTGGTTCGTTTGGCAGCAATGTTCTGGTGTCAAACGCTTTGATCGGGAAGGCTGAGAGCTGGTTTTCACTATGTCTAGTCGCCGTATATGCGATAAAAGCGAAGTAGTATTCTCGCATGTTAAAAAGCAATATGACTCCTTGATTTACGTGCAAAGTGGCGGAAAATTGCAATGGATGTATTTCATCCATTGCCATGCCAGTAGTGAGCTAATCTATTTATGAGTTGCGTCACACCGCTCCACATCAGCAATCAAATCTCATACTGTAGCTGAGCGAGGTGATTCAAATCGCATTACTAGCAAGATTAGACCAGCTAGGTAAGATAGAGTTGCTGGCGAGGGCAATGCATATTCAAATAGACGAGTGTCCGCCAGGCGCCTCTGCACTGTTAAGAATGCCGCTCGACGATCCAGCTACATGTAAAGCCTAGTATGTTAGGACGGACGGATTTCAAATTGAATGACAGAAAGGATTGCTGAGACTTGCTTGATTAGAAATTTAACCCTTTTTTTAGCTGTTTAAGTCAATTTTTGCATTGAAATATATTACGAAATAGTAGCATTGCTTCTACACCCAAGTTAGGAAAAAGCTACTTGAAGTACAAGTAAAATGTAAAATGTAGCTATTTTGGAATGTAGTTTGTTCTGTAACGTGCCAAAAATCTACCCACTAAAGTCGGTCAAGTACTTGTTCTTTAACCTCCTACTTTTCTTGAGAGCATCGCAGCAGTACAATTTCATTGCATGTATTGGCGCAAACATCATACAGCGCATACTAAAGCGCAACACAGCATGCTTTAAGAACTACATCTGGCCCTCAGATATCGTAAAAAGGTTGTCATCTTCATCTCAAAAAGCACCATGACGTCGTATACAAATTTCCTCTCACCTTTCAACGTTAGAAACGTCCCATGATCGCGTGAGACATTGGTCAGGAAGACTTCACCTTTAATAGCTTCACGTCTCCGTACTCGACAAAAAGCTTCTCCGTCTGAGTGTATGAAAGAGCGGCTTCGAGAACGATGCCAAGGTTCTTTTTGTGAAACCTGTACGAACGATGACTGACTTCTTTAAAGTTTAAATAACGTAGCATTGCTGTCCATGTGATGCTGCTTTGCTTGAGTCGGTGATGTGAGAGACCAATACTTGACTTTATCAAGCACGGCACAATAAATTTGGAGGTCGGTGCCTTTTTTAGGGGGGAAGATGAGCATTGATTTCCTATCTGTTAACGGACCCACAGACTAGAAATTACACCTAGATTTAGCTAACGGCTCTTTTGCACTTTGAAAAGTAATAATCTCTTTCTCCCACCAAAGTTGCAAGAAACATTACTTATGAGGAGCGGTACCACTTTTTCTTTTTGTTAGTCAGGTTAAACATCTACAATGGGGTAGGTACTCCATCTTACAACGTCTGCTGCCATCTCGGCAATGAGAGTTCTCAACTCTTGTACAAAGTCCACATACTCCTTTTTGCCCTGTCGGGCAGCAAGGAAACGCGTCGTCACGCAATATACCTGATTAGGCGGCGAGAACATTCGCAAAAGCTGACGCTTCAGCTGCTTCCAGGTGGGAAACGGCGCTTCAACCGAAGCACCGCACGTTAGTGCCCATTCTCGTGCTCGGCCCCCGAGCTTGGAGATAGCCAGCGCCGCGCGCTGTTGCTCGTTTTGAAGCATGGCGGATGCCATAGCCATCTCGATCTCTCTCACGCAAAGCAGGAGATTTTCTCTATCCTGACCCTCGAAAGTTTCAATGCTCATCATGAGCGGCCTGGGTCGAAAGGAGTCCTCCGTCCTCGACAGTGGCGTCATAGACGCAGTCGAAGCTGACAGTTTCTGCTGTAAGTGCTCTAACAAAGCATTTTCATAGTCTGAAAACACCTTTAGGCGCGCGCTTATCGCCTTAGATCCTTGCAAAAAGAGGTGCTCCACGCCCTCATGGCCTGCATGCCCTGGAACAATTTTTTTTCCTCCATCCTCACAGAGGATCAGCCATAACGACTCAGGCATAAATTGACCACGAGTGCTACCAAGTGCAGCGGGGTTGCCGTAACTTTTTGCTGAGAGGAAGCTAATCTAAAGTCACCGGCCTTACATTTTTTCCTAGAACCAGTACATGTGTAGCGGATCGCAATCCGCTACCTCTAAGTACAAAAGTCTTACGAAGGCAAACGAACATTCTTGCTCAAAAACGAAACTGTATTTAATTTTTTTTGTTGCGGCAAAGCCGCCAATATCTAAAACCCTAGGTGTTCCTGATTAATATAGTAATGCCTTACTATTATAGCAAATCCTAATTTATATAGTAATATGCATTCAGATTCAGTGAGGCCGACGTCTGACTAGAGCATTATCTAATGCTTAGCGTTGCGAGTACATCGCGCGACGTGGATGTCGAGGTGATAAATAGTTGTTGCTGTCAACAGCCTCACATATCTTCATGTCCTGAATTTGAAACAGAACAGGGTCCTACTTGCTAGTCGGAAGCACACTGCGCTACGGTACCCTGTCTCCTATCAGGGGAGATAAAGTCCGAGAGAGAGCCAGGATACAGCGGCCACGGTGCCAGAAAATTCTCGCTCATCTGGGACCTCGAACTACATAGTCTCTTCCTGTTCAAGAGATACTGGTAACAGCAGACGTTTACCCAGCTTACTAACCCTACACAAATAAGTGAAAGCTACAGAAAGTGACACCTCAGCCAGTCACGTAAGGCTTCGTGAGCTCACTCAGTCATGGTGGCACGTCAATTCTGTCCGTGACTCCGGGCGTATGGTTAAATTGGAGACGGTTCATGTTTTGGATGTGCTTTTCTAGCTGAGCATCGCTATCCGTGGCCTTAGACAGCCCTTCGGAACCATGTCGGTATTCTGGAGCAGCGAATAAATTGGGGGCTTCAATTGAATGTATAATTGCTGCTTCGTCTCCAATTGAGCACCTCAAACCCGACTGGCTTGTAAAAGCGGGATACTAATAAGATTTTAGCAGGCCCATGTATAGCACAAAATCCTTTGCTTTTTGTCGATATTTTTAATGTGAGATCTAGTCCCTTTTGACTAAGATTGCGAGTAGTCCAGTGTAGCGTAGACGCATCTTAGCTGTGTAGTGCATGTGTACATATATTAACAGCGTTCATTGCCGCTACATACTTCGTGTTAGTACTGTATCGACGCGTTGCTTCTAAGCATCCTGCCCTTCAGCAAAGCACGAGGATTTATTCAAGGTATTCTGTAGATAAGTTTGAGCCTGTGGAGGGATGAATCGGATTATGTCACACAAATTAGAGATCATCTCACATCGACACCGCAGTCTCTCTGCACATACATTAAAGAAGGGGTCCTCCACAACGTACATAAAGCGTTCCGTGATCACACGTCGGTCTAAAAGGAGAAGGTCTACATGTTCAATCTAGTGCCGAGCATATTAAACGATATTTGCCAAAACTTTGCTGTTCAACGCAGATCTCTACACGATACAATGTATATCGGCGAGCCATGTTGGTAAAACATTTTGTAGAAGGACAGCTTGCGTAATCCTTGCCGGTGATAGTTTCACTGATTACAAATACGACAATGCCGGTATTACCGGGCGCGTAAACAGAAAACAGAGTTTATACTTGTGGACTGTCAACGCTCAGCGGTACCGACAGGCAGTTTTTGATGCTGCCGCATCATGTGGCGATGTTTTACTCTGTTTTACGTGTGCGCACATATGTTCTATCTCACTAATACATGCTCAACAAACTATACGTCGTTTTTCTCCCAAAGTGGTCACACACAGAGGTGTCAGACACCTCGTAAGGTATTCTGTACCTGGGGTTTTTATCATGAAGCACCACGATCCATGAATTGCCAAGTGAGTCAAACCTTTGTTACAGCATGCCTTCGGATAAAGATCAGTGAGGTAAATGTGCAAATTAACACTTCAAGAAAAAGGCTTTTGAGCTCCAAACGTCTTGCCGTCAAAAGCTTTTAGCTATGCGACACATTATTCGTTTAATCTGACAGTGTATGTGCTGCTTAATAAATGCGTTATATGACCATCATCAATTCATAGTCGGGGCGACGCAAAATTGCATCCGCCACCACGTTATGCCGACCTAACCGCGAAGATGTACTCAACAAAGAAGTGCAGCCATTTTATAATACTTCGTCAGCGATGTAATAAGATCGACGCTGTGCACCACGACTAGTGCTTTGTATAAATCAAAATAGCTTAAAGCTAGGCTAGTGTACCTGAACTTGACAACAACACTTTCATCGTCAGTGCCTCTTTGTCATGAGCTGGGTACTTCTTCACTATCGCATTAAGCTGGCGAGGATCAAGAGCGGTTACGAGTTCGCGTCTATTATAATCCTTTTGAAGTAAACACAACTAAAACCAAAGTTCGCATAGACACAGACAACATAGAATGGTCGATCTAGCTCTATAGAGCCAGAGTCTAGCCCTGCTTGAGGATATTATTCAGGCCTTGTCGACTGCCTGTTCTGCTGCACAATGTGACTAGGGACAGACAGTGCAATGTCGGCATGGTTCGCGATGTACTTATGCAAGTAAGTGGCCAGGCCAAACAGAGCTGACCTGAGTCCCTTTAAAACAAAAGCCTACAATATTCTTTGTTGTTTTGGAGTCTGTTCGCAAACTATGCTTTCCAATTAGGCACCTTGGATAGGGGTTTTTGTCAGCGCCAAAAACACATTTGCCTATATTGGCGAGTGTCTTCATTGAGCGCATACACTCGAACATAGTTCACAGGGTTTATTTATGGTACTCCACATCAGACTTTCTGTCATCTGCACGACTATAAAAAACTATAGATTTGTGCGTATCCATAATGTGGTCAGAATAGCTGTGTCACTATATGATGCGTCGCTCGTACGTTCGGTATATAAGCGACAACCCCCAGAATATCACGCCCGGGTTACCCACTACATCGGGAGGGGTCAGTGCATGTTATGAGCTATTTGTACTTCCAGTTAGCTAGATAAAGTAAATTGAACAAAGTGCAACAGACAGTGCTCCTCAACCGCACTTTACTCCTTGAATGCAGCATTGCGCTAGAAAAGAAGCTGCATTTGGCGTCTGATAAGTGTAGCGGGGTTACACATACCTTGGTATGTAAGGGTGGGTCACACAAGATGGTATGATCGTCCAAAGGTGTGGATTATACAAGTTCGTGTAATCACACAATGGTGTGGCTACAAGCCGCTACGGGGCAGCAATGGCAGTAGTTAAGCATAGTAAATAAGCTATACAATTTGAAAAGGAAAATGTAGAGATTTAGATATAGGCCGCTCTCCCGAGGAATATGAGTATTGGTTTTGGGTACTCTTGGAGGTAGCGGATTGCGATCCGCTACACTCGTACTAATTCTGGTATAGAACGAAGGTCGGTGATCCTAAGTAAGTTTCCTCTAAGCATAGAGCTACGGCAGCCCCGCTGCACTAAGTATGCACAATTCGCCACTTGCCGTTAGCATTTCTGGCACAGAAAGTAAGCTTCAAGTGGGGAGAAAGACTGGTTGGGTGAGTTATTATGTTTCACCAAACCCTTTTTGTGTATTCGCATGGAATCAAGCGTTTGCTATTTCTTTCGTAAGATTCTTTGAGGTGCTACGCAGTATTTTGTTCCGAGAGCCAAATTAGTATTATGGCGCACTACCCGGGTTTGGCCCTCTGTCATCACATCGTGCTACTTTTTTGGCAAGGCAAAAAGCCGTATGAGCTACTTCAAACCTCGCGCTCGGGCGAATCGCCTCAGTGACGGACTTATCCATGATGATTGGTGGGCTCAGCTTCTTCTGTGATACCAACCGTACCATTTCACTGACGTTCCCGCCTCGTAACTTTCAAAATTTCATTGAGTATAAACCTCTAGTTTAATTAAAGCTTCTCTTGAAACTCGAAGGGGGTATTTTAGGCCCTTGGGTCTACCCCGGTCACACAGCTTACGACTAAAAAAACATTCTCGCTACGCACCCGGGGAGATTCGCTACTTCGCACGATCGGCGCATCACAAGGTTGTTCAACCTCAGCACGCTATTGCGTGGTTACATAAAAACATTGTCCGAGCCTGATCCTTTTATTTGCGACTTATATTCGCGTATATAATATATATACATATATAACAACTCCACCAGCTGGTACAGACTATTCCACTAGAAATACACTTTAGAACCACGACACGCACCGATATTCATATCTGATTCACCAAAATATACTCGGAGACCGCGGCGAATTGCCATTTTGCCCTGCTTTTCCAGCTCTGCTCTAGGCACTTAGCATTATTTCTGCTGAATTCTCTGAACAGTCATATTGCAGCGGTGCTGCCGTAGCTCGTGCTAAGAGGAAGCATACTTAAGGTCGACGCCCTTACGAGTGTAGCGGATCGCAATCTGTTTACTCCAAGATAAACTACTACCTTAATCCAAGGCTGATTGACGATTACGTGTAAAATGTAAATTGTATAATTTACGGCAAAGCCGCCTATATATAAATCTATAGGTTTTCCATCTGTATAGAAAACCTATTTAAATGCATAACTACTGGCTGTTACAGCCACGTACTGACTTGTTGTTAAGTGTAGCCACACCATCTTGTGTTACCCACAACCTTCATACTAGGGCACGTGAAACCTTGTTACACATATATCCATAACTGAAACTATCGCAGCTTTATGCACGCGTCAAAACCACATCTTCTTCCTAGTGGAAGCAGTTTTATGACTCGCCAAAACTTGATGTGAGAGAAATGCGTGGCGCCAACCTTGTCGATCTCTCATCGATACATGTCCCATGGTGTCCAGGCCATGTCTACCTAAGATACGATCGTATCTCAAATCCAGTAAAAGACGAAACGCAAGTTGGCATTTTCGAAAACCTAAAAATTTACGCAAATGTTCTTCAAGACCTTTGACAAATTTAGGTATTGTCCCTTACACACGAATATCGTTACTGTGTTTGGCATGTGCAACGCCTCTGCGTACTGCTTACGGTTTCATATAGTCGTGCGTCGTTCGTGTTTGCACGACGCTTCTGATTCTTTTAAAATTTTTCAAGGCTTCAAACAAGCCTGATACCATTGATTTAGCAATCAACAACCCAAGGGTATGATCCATTACCTCCATTAACAATGATTGCTGTTTCGGGGCTAAACCCATTTTTTAGCGTGGTTTATTCCCTATGGGACACCCTGCGCCTTTTAAAATTTGACGTTTCCCCGTGAGAGGATTGTTGAACGATTCAGCATAAACCTCGACCCATATACCAATCAGTTCAAAGAGAAAGGTTTCCACGGCACAAATGCTTAGCGCTTTCGCAGATATAACATACCGCTAGTATTATGGTGCTGCTCGGTAGCAAAGAGGATCTAATCCTTCTCAAATGACTGAGAATAATCGCCTCTTGCGCACCCGCAGCGCTTCCGCCTCAGATTCCCGAAGAATTCATCGCGGAATCGAATATGCACTCTGTATATAATGGGTACTGTAGAAGACTCTAACAGCTATAACGTGGTGGTGAATCTGGTGGTCATTCTATTGCATAACTGCCTATCTTTAAAAGCACAAGAGCGACTGTGAAGCCAATCCATGACCATATCAGCATCCTTAACCCAGATAGAAGAAAAAAAAATCATCCCTACTCTCGAAAGGCTAAAATGTAAGCACTAGTGGTCTTGCGATGGGAGCCGAATGCACTACCCTCGAAGACTGGTTGAGGCATTGCCAAAGATATCTCGCCCTGCTGATGAAAGAATCCATGCGTTCCATTATCGCTTTTAGCCTTTAGACCACCAAGCGTTTTATTGTCTCGCAACCGAGTGAGTGCATAATAGAATTATGCGTGTCTAGTACATATAGTCGAATAATTTATGTTTGGTTGTCGCTGATAATAAGCCTTTTTAAATACTTGTTGTCGGATTGACTACTTGAGCTACCAGGCACAACGGGGCGCCATGCGCCTTGTGCAGAGAAAGTTTTTACTCTAACAGTCCGTCTTTACATCGCACAGAAGAAAATGATTTCCTCCATTGAGGGGCGAAGCCGAGAGCCAATAAAGTTACCTAGTACCTTGCACTGCTTTTACAGTAGTGACATATATTTGGGATATATTATTTACATTAACTCAAAAGCATACATTTTACTATGTCCGATATTAAATCTATCTATATTGCCTGACGTAATGCAAACATACCACACATTCCACGTACCTCTACTTTACAGAGATCCATCGCTTCATTAGCAATAAACATTAAGTACCTCTAAATGTTTACGATTAAACAAAAGTGTGGCAATGTAGGATAGTGTAAGTTGTATCGCAGTGACCGTTTTCATAGAGGGCTTCCGCACTAGCGTGGCATTGAATGCCAAATTTAACGACTTGGCTGAAATGCACACCCACAGAGCTCGCGGAGGGCCTGAATCAATGGACCACAGCTGTGCTGAGAAGGAGGGGAAGAGCTCCGAGCTGCTGGGCAGCGTGTAAGCTACCGACGGTGTTTTGTTTACGGAGACACCCGTCACCGTCGGACGGGTTGTTTCTTGCGCAAGGTGCGTAGAGGCTCGTCAAACCGACGTCTCGCTCTTTAACCACTCTTGGTTGACGGGGAACCGAGACCACCCAGTAGGCGCGGGACGCTCCACTGGGGGAGTACTGAGTTCTGCTGAGCCTCAAAGCGATAGAGGGCAGCAGGGCCCAGCCTCGAAGAGCTCCGTGCTCTTGAACACGAAGCGTGTGTGCAAGCCAGGCTTGCTGATCGTTGAAGCGCCCGTGAAGGGCTTTGGGAAGTCGTGAAAAATCATGACCGATTTTGGTGCTCTGGGCAATTATGCTTGCCGCTCTACGATCGAAGAAAGTTAGCTGTATGCTGAGGTGCTGGAAGCGCGGTCAAGTGACACCGTTACTGTTCGCTTAGCGACGGGGACTTGTGTCACTGTGAGGAGAGTTCCTGTGGACCTCGGCGTCAAATTCCTTGACTTCGATAGCGTGGAACGCTGTCCAGCCTTAGACTTGGATGCAAGATATTACCTTATCCTCGGTGTGGTATGGTTGGAACACCATGAGCCATAGATTAATTAAGGATCGAAGACCTTGGGCGTTACGCGCACGTCTCCTGATGGAGCTTAGGTGAGTCATGAATTCACCTCTGCTAGGAAGCAGAAGCGCTATTGGCGCAGACACTGGACCAAAACAGTCAATGTGCTAGATATCGGAGTATCTGAGCTGTCAAACACCAAAGGTATTTTGGACAAGAGTCCCGAGCATGGTGCGCGGACTGAACGTGGAGTGGCACATAGCCCACAGAGCACTGCTTAAGTATCCAAGCAGCTGCTGGCCAATAGTGGCGAGGTAGGCCAAGGGCCAAGGGCCGATGCATCGAGGGTGAGGCCCCAGTGATGCACGTGGAGTGGCACGTAATTTACTAAGAACCGCTCATGTTTTGAAGCAGTTGCTGCATACTTAGAGTGGCATGGTTGGACGAGGCCCAAGGCATCCTGGGCAAGGCCCTTCGGATGCGCGTGGAGTGGCACGTTATCCACTGGTCGAAGACTGCGGAAATAGCAGCTATCGTCGGATGTTGTTAATAACATCAATGCTACGATGGAGCAGGGAGTGAGACACTGGACGACGCCGAGTGCATGTTCACACTGGTCTCAATGAGACGTAAAACCTCTATGGGTAGGAGGCGGCAATGCCGTATGTTATCTGCAAGACGCAGGGCGTCGACCCTGACCCAGGGTGTGTCTACCGTAGACGATAGCACACAGCTATACACCCTAGTCAGCGGTATGACGGGAAGGATGAAGGCGACGTCATCCTGGAGGCTATTCTTGCATTGGATGCTCTTCTTGAGCTGGACGAGATGTCCTTTTGAAAGTATGGAAGTGCCTTGAAGGCAGGCAAATTAGTCGAATTGGTCATTGTGGACTGGCCGGTTCCATAGCATTTGCGGTATACTCGCGCAAGTGGCTTGGCCTCGCCAACTACTTGCACAAGTATACCGCAAATTATGCAGATGTGGCACGGCGATTGTCTAATCTCCTTGAAAAAATAAGGAATGGTTTTGGACCACTGGAATACATATATAAAATTTGCGGTTGTAAAAATGGGCGATGAATCTCGTGTGTGATTAAATAAAACTCTACCTAGACACAACGGTTGCCTTCTACGCTCTGTCATCTACTTGGTTGACGCCATACTTCTTGAGCGTTGTGCGATATAAAGCAATTCATGCAAAGAAGTAAGGAAGTTTTAAATTGGTTCTTGAATCTCTCGATGATCCTGGCGAAAGCTGCATGTCTGAAGAAGTGCTTGCGAAGAGGCAAATGGTATCAACGACTAACACAACAATTGAGAAGGTCAATTGTCCGATGACTCTATAGAAGTCCGTCCAGTAAATTTCAGTGGAATCTATTGCTACTAACGTCAAATATGAGTTTAGTGTAATTGAGTTGAACAGTCTATACAAAAACAACCGTGAAATGATTATTCATAACACGGAGCTATTCCACATTGGAAATCAGCTTTGGTAGTGAAAATTAATGTCGTACTTAAGTATTTCAAATAAGCATATAGCATTAATTAAAATCCTTTGATCATGGGTGTACAGAACCTCTGGGTGTTGCTGGCACCAGTAGGGCGACAGATTGAAATCGAGTCTCTTGCAGGCCAGGTTCTGGCTGTAGATGCTAGTATTTGGCTCACCCAGTTTGTAAAGGCAATGCGGGATGACGACGGTAACATGATTCGCAATGCTCACCTTATGGGTACATTGCATCGCGTAGCAAAGCTGCTCTACTATGGGATCCGCCCTGTCTTCGTATTCGACGGTCAGACACCAGAAATCAAGAAAAGAACGACTGCTAGACGCAAAAAGAGACAGGAGCAACAGAGCGCCAACTTACGCCACACTGCACAGCGCATTTTACTCAACAGACTCAAACAAGTTAGACAGGCAGTGAATCAAAACGGAGGAGCACCAGCTTCTGCAGTTGCATCCGGTTTCACACTGCCAGAACCCTCGACCTCAGTAAAAGAGGAGGAGAAAATTAAAATGGAGGTTGAAAGCGAAGTTGGCCAACTAGAAGAAGAATCCATTGACGAAACTGAAGCAAAGAAAACGAAGGAGACAAGGATAAAGACGATCAGAGATACAGTAGAGGAGGAAGAGGAACAGCTTACAGTGGATGACATCGCTCTGGATTCATCGAAGCTGTCGAAGATCGATTTTCACGCGGTGTTTTCGCTGCCACCTCACTTACAGAAAGACATGATTCATAAGATCCAGCGTGATCGTCGACAGGATGTGAGAAACCAATTTATTCCGCTGGCTGGTAACCCTGAAAAGTACTCGCACACCCAAATTACAGCATTTCTACAAACAAGCGCATTAAATCGACAAATTGAAGCAGCTAAAAAACAAAAGCGTGAAGAGGAGTTGAACCATCAGGGTGGAGTTGGCCTTGGGCATCGCATCAACTCGAATGGTAATCGATTTTACATCTACGAAAAAGACACAGAGCAAAATGAGAAAGAGGAAAAAAAATGCAATGACGTGATGGTGGAGGCAGAACGTTCCACTTCTTTTGAGGATGCTCATTCTAACAAAAAGCGAGGCGGTGTCTTTGACTTAGTAGACAAGCGACCGTTGTCTAAGCTTCCTACACGGGAAGCTGGGTTTTCTTCAGCGACAGATGCCACTGCGGCATGGCTCACACGGCATCATATTCGTGCCAAACAGGAACCCACACTTGCTATTGAAAAGTTGAGGCAAGCGCGACTCAAAGGTGACGTGATACTTTATTTGATGAGCCCATTCACACCTCTGACATCGAGTTGTTCTCCTAGGTAGACGTTAATATTTCAACCAAGTTTGGATTTCTTACTGATTTGAAAGAAATGGCACAATTGCAGAAGTTTGCAACTTCTGAGCCTGAAGATTCTCCTATCGTTATTGATGATGACAAGTTTGATAATTCTAATTGGGAAAAGGTGGCGGCACCACTTACAGAGCCCCACTTATTGAGTTCCTTAAATGTCGAGCAAAAGATGCCTGAGCAGATGTTTGATACTATGGCAACGACGAACGATAATTGTACAAAGGGCTTACTAAATGCTAATGAAGAAAATTCGAATAGTGATGAAGAGATTGAGTGGGAAGATGTACAAAAGGTGCCAGAAAATTCTGCAATTAAAGATACGTCGTGTCTTAAACAAGCTTTCACCGAGGAAAAATTAGATTCGTCGAGCTCCTCTACGAGCGCACACGAGAAGCAAATACAAAAGTTAGAAGAAATAGGTAACGATGATTCTTTTTTTACGTTGAAAAGCGAAATGGAAGACGCAAAGGCCCATAAAGACCTCGATTTACTGAAAACAGACGCTTTGCAATCTGCCATGGTGACTGCTTCTAATTTGACTCAATGGGCTGCAGGAGCGGTTCGTCGAGCACTACAAGCTCACTCTTTACAACACATAGGACTATCTACCAATGCAAGTCGAGACAATTCCGCAGCTGATCGACAAAATGTTCAGTTTTCTCTCACAACGGGATCGGCAAAGTCTTCACCCAAAAATATGGACAAGGATTATCTGTCTAAATCAAATACTTTCGACAGTAGTAAGAGTCTTGAAGCGGATATGATTGAAGACATAAATGCTGACTTGCGTAATGACGATGTATCACTGCCTAAAGCGGAGGACAATTATGAACAGCTGCAAGCTGAATTAGCAGTTTCGACTGGTGATGAGGGAAAAACACAGGAAGCTGAAAGCTCTTGTGTTCGCTATCTTCAGTATTCGCAATCAAATCAGTCCTCTCAACTATACGCTGCTGAGGAACCCGAAATGGATGCTGTAGCACTGCAAACAGAGCATTTGGAGCTAAAGAAACTTCGGAATCGACAGCAGCGTGACATGGAAGGCATCACGGATGATATGGTTGCTGAAGTGATGGCGTTGTTGCGTTTGTTTGGTGTTCCTTTTCTTGTAAGTCCGATGGAAGCTGAAGCGCAATGTGCAGCTCTTGAGCAACTCGGCCTTGTTGATGGCGTGATTACTGATGACAGTGATATTTTTCCTTTTGGGGGTAAGCGAGTTTATAAGAACATATTTCATCATCAGAAATTTGTCGAAGCCTTTTCCGCTTTTGACATTGAGCAAGAGCTGGGATTCTCTCGAGAGCAAATTATCGCCATAGCAATGCTACTTGGCAGCGATTACACGGACGGCGTCCGCGGTATTGGCATTGTGAATGCTTCTGAGATTGCAGCAGCATACCCGGGAATTGCAGGCCTTCGAGACTTCAAAGAATGGGTCCAAAACTATAATGTTGCTGAAGAGGCCCAACGTGTCGTCTCGGGTTGCTCGAAACCGAAAAAAAAAAAATTGACGAAGGAAAAAAATGAGCTGGAACACGACAGCGACGATAATGATGTAGAATTAGCGCGCGTACGATTTCAGCAAGCTCATGCGACTGCGCGACGAAAATGGGAATTAGGTGACGAATTTCCAAGTAATCAGGTTTTACAGGCGTATATGGCTCCGCAAGTTGATCGTTCTGAGGCGCGTTTTTCATGGACTGCTCCAGATGTGGCTGCATTACGCTCCTTTTGTGCCAATGCTTTTGGATGGGATAAGCAGAAAAGTGATGGAGTGTTAAAGCCTCTTGAGGAAAAGGCACGAGCAGCAGCTGCCGATGGGGGTCGCCACATTCAAACGCGTTTAGATCGTTTCTTCACGAGCTATAAAGATCAAGTACACTACGCACAAATCAAGAGCAAGCGCTTGCGCTCTGCTGTTCATCAGGGCACTGGCAGCAAGAAGGACAAAAGTAAAAAACAGAAAGTGAAAAAGCATGTAATAAGAAGTGGTTATTGTAGCAAAAGACAGCGAAAGCAAAAGCATTATTAAATGAAAATGGCTATTGAATCTTGCGTATCCGTGTAGCTTTGGTGTTTTCATCAATTAGTAGTTACAGAACCTCTACGGCGTGCGGCACCGGGATGAGTTCCGTCGCCACTTCCGGGGGTGAAATTGACCAAGGCTCCTGAACCTAGGGACGCAGCGACTGCTGCCTTCCTTTGAGCTCGTTGTGCGTCGATACGGCCCTGTACAATCGCCGTAAAATCCAGAATGTAGGCGGCGACGATATCCAGGTCGACTATAGCGCGCTTACCATGACTAACCACATCAGCCTCGAAGGTGTCGATACCAGTCTTATCAATTGAGCTGTTTGCAAATGTGGGTGACATGGAAGCAATTACGGTATTCGCATTGGGGCCGTCGTTGCCAGAGTCGTTATTATGAAAATTACCTTCGACGTGTTTAAGAATTTGTCCGTGAGGTCCGCCGGCACATCGCTGCAGCAAATTGCTAATTGCCATAATAATTTGTCCGAGCGCTAATGTCTTTTGTGTTGTCGCTCGAATTGTTGCATCCGTCTCGTGTTGTAGACGTACACCATGTACTTCCTCGCGTTCTAGATCACGTTGGAGTGTGGCGATTCGATTGTTAAATGCCAGAAGATCGTTAGCACACTCTTTTTGAAAAGCAGAGAACTCAAGTCGCTTCGATTCACTTTCCTCTTCATGCGTAATTTGGTTTCGGGTTAAGTCACGGTTTGTCTCACACAAAGTATGGTAGCGATTTACAAGATCGCTCACCTCGGGATAATCCTCAGAAACAGCTTCTTGAACAGATTCTAAGTAACGAGTATACTTGAGATGGAGTCGAACCTGCGACTTTAAGTTGTCAGTCTCTTGCTGCAAAGCTGTGAGCTGGGCTTGTAATTTTGTCACCTCCTGCTCCTTGCTCACACGGAGCCTGATCTCGTCACTAGCCCGCTTGACTGCGCGACTGCGCTTTGACTCATTCTCCTGTAAAAACTTGTTGAACTTGATGAGCGATTCCTGCAGCTCCAGATCTTTATTGCGCAATGCATCTTCTCGTCGATGAAAAGCGTCTTCACGACGAGCAAACTCTTCCTTTTGAGCGTCTAGGGCTTCCTGTACTTCAAACATTTGTCGACGCTTTTCCAGCATTCGTGTTGCTGGAGAAACGCGATCAAGTGTCAGAATTTGTGGCATATTGGACCGATTTGTTATCATGGGATTGCCAGCATTTGTGAACGCGGTACTACGAGCTCTCATCGTCTTTCACGTTGGGAATAGACTTTTGACGAGTTGCGTACTATTTTCGAAGCCTATCGTTAGAAATTGTAGGCGACTATTGATACAGAGGCCGTCATGAATATTACAATATTTGTGGTTTAACCAATCCTGAAGGGGTGCTACGATCTCGAGGCGAAGTACGAAAAGGTGCATCAAAAGTTGCAATATCTATCTACCCACGATCGTACTTGCAATGGCTGACAATGAAGCAAGTAACGTTTCTCTTCGGGTAGAAAACACAGAAGTTGGCGACTTGACCAGTCCCAGACGCATTGAAGCGCGAGATCCAGGCCCGATAGATCAGGTCGCGAAATGCGATCAAATTAGCACAGGCAGTGAACATTCGGATCAATCAAGGGAGCGATCAATTCTATCGACAGCCTTAACGTCTTTGGAGGCGGAGAACAAGTCCGCAATTGATGGTTTGAAGTCTACATTGGCGGAGCACGTAATGGAGAAGGACGACGGTGAAGAGACAGAAGACGATATTGCTTTGTTGGAATATTTGTCCGGTGCAGAAAGTGACTACTTTGAAGTGGAACGAGCAGGTCGCAAAGGTGAAGATGTGGATGTTCGGACATCGATTATGGCACTGTCCCCCAGATCGAACAATGAGAGCTTGGGTATGTCGGATAGTCGTGAAGATCTATACATGCTTAAAGGATCGACAAGGTACATGAACCGCTACACGACAGAAACGCACAAAAAAATGCCTCTTTCGCAAGAGACTTCGCGTCAAGTGTCACCTCGTTTGGCGGTGGTTCAGCTTGGATCTGGATCGGGAGTAGCTGAAGAAGAGGCACAGAGAACAGATGGAACAGAATTGAACGATTTGTCGCGCCAATTAATTAGATCTAGTCGACATTTAGGAGAGAGAGAGAGTGAGTGGATTGCGTGTAACACTGAGGATGGACTCACTTATTACTACAATCAGCACACGCAGGAATCACAGTGGACGAAACCGACACCTCCAGGTGCTCAAACTTACTTAAATGAAGAACTATTTGCTACTGTATCAAAAAATGAGCTATCAGATGCAGACTTAGGGCGGCTTGACGTGTTGTTACAATCGGCTGTGGAACTTGACGCCGTGAATGCTGAAGGCCTTACTCTATTGCATGCTGCTTGCAAAGTTGAAAACGAACAAGCCGTAACGCTGTTGATTTACCACGGAGCGAACTTGAATGCGCGAGCTCTTTGCGATGGCGCTACTCCACTAATTTTTGCTTGTATAGCCGAAAGTACGAATATTGTCAAGCTTCTTCTCGAGGCAAATGCGTCACTCTCAGCTTGTTTAGACGACGGGAATACGGTGGTTCACATAGCCGTTGCCACAGGAAATGAAGAGTTGGTATCGTGTGTGCTGCGCGGCTGTGATGATACATTGATGTGCCAGAACAACAATAACGGTGAGACAGCTCTGCATATTGCAGCAAAGCTTGGTTACACAAAAATTGCCCAATGTTTGTTGGCTCGCGGTGCAAGTGTAAAACGCGAAGACTCTCAAGGTCGGACGCCTTTAATTTTAGGCATCTTGGAAAATCACGTAGACTGTGTCCAACTACTTCAGAGTGTTGAAGGCGCTATAATTGCAAGCAAACCAGGAGCAACATCATATCACGGCTCGATCGATCGCAGCGAGGAAGACACTCAGCGTGATGCATTGAGTATTTTTCGCTCGTACCTCCTCCAGATTTCTCCTCAGCCGTCAACTTCAGAGTGTCAAACTATAAATCAGCTTTTTAACGAAGTACGGAATCAAATTGAGACTTTAAATGCAAGTCTAAAGGTAAGTTAAAATCGCTTGTGGAGTTTCTGTTCTTACCGACCCCATTTAAGTTTCAAATTCATCTTGGTACACAAGTTATCCGATGGTAGAGAAAAACAGGCCCTGAGACAAGTAAAAGCAATGTCATTGGCACTAACAGCGAGAGCTGATGAGCTGACAAAGGTTCAAATTCCAGTCGTGAAAAATTGGCACTAAGATTTAAATGTCAACTTTATGCATGTTTAGGAAAAATTGCTTCATTCTGCCACTCAGACTCGGGTTGTGGCCCTTTCAGCGCGATGCGACCTTCTGGAATCAATTGCTCGCAACGCACAAGAGAAGCTTGGAAGAGAGCGCTTGGAACATATTCATATTGAAGAATGCATGCAAGAGAAGCTGCACTTCAGCTTGCAGGAGAATGCTAAGGTGATTGAGTCGTGTCGACAACTTCAAGCAACCTGGACCGAACGGCAGCAACAGGTTGAGTTGCAGCAAAGTCGTCGTGAAAGCCAAGACTATTATACGTTTTCCAGCAACCAAGCCCATCTAATTAGCGAAGAAGAACGTATTCAAGACTCTTTACAAACCGAGTCCTTCACGGGCATCACATCCGAACAAGAACATAATGGACAGCTTTTCAGTGATTATCATCACCAATATCAAAAGATGCACCATAACGAAAATCACCATTCTCGAAGGCCGTACCGTAATGACGATAGTAATGATAATTCGGATGCATCATTGGGGCCACTAGACGTAACTGAAACTGGAAAAATCGAACGCAGCGTAGCTCCATCTGTTTCTCCAACTCGAGTTGATGCTGTTTGGAATCGTTTTTTTGAAAATATAGGCTATCCCAGTGAAACGCGCGGTTCAACAAATTCTGATTCATTTCGAACGCCATCACCTGAGGGCAATCAGAAGAACACTTCACTTCCATCAAACTCACTTGTATTCGATGCTGTACGAAAGAGTGATTTAAAAAAGTTGCAACAAGTTTTGATGCGAGGGGTCTCTCCAAACCAACGAGACGTTGGTGAAAAGGGCACACCGCTTCATTTAGCGTACGTGCTTTTGTTACAGTAATGTGTGCTAATGAAGAGCTCATATTTTCGCTGATTGCAGATGCGAATTGGGTGATGTTGACTCGATTATGTTACTCAGTGAGTTCGCTGCAGATCTAGAAGCCCGAGACGAGGCAGGAAATTCGCCACTCCTCGCCGCGTGCTTTCAAGGAAATTTTGAGTGTGTCAAGTTTCTTCTCGAAAGTGCTGTCAATTTCAATGCTTTGAACGAAAATGGCGATTCCGCTCTTCATCTCGCAGCATGGGAAGGCAGTATCTCGTGCGTCATGATCCTGCTTGAATATGGGGCCGATCCAATGGCAACTAATCGATTCGGATTGACAGCTCTTGGAAACATGAAAACCCGATCTCCGATGCGTCACAAGTTTGATGATTTGCCAGAAGGACACCCAATTCGCAGGACACTTGTGGTACTAGAAGAGGCGGGACATCACGAATTACACGTAAGCTAATCAATGTGTCACATCCTTCAGCGTCGGCTGAGACATACTCTGTACCAGGTGATTGAAGGTCAATCGGCAAATTTAGACGATGCCACCGGACCCACACAGTCCACGCACGAAACTGGTGAAACATCTGTGAGGACGTCATGGACGGTAGGTGGCTGTGCTACCATTTCGTTTTAATCAATCTTTTCTAATATATTCATCACCTTAATGATAGCAATGGCTTCTAGGGTTTCGAAGCACTCAATCAACTACATCACACCCCTCCAAAGAGGAGAAAGAACAGCAGAAGAGCGAAGCTGGAGATACCAACACGTCCACCACATACACCGATCACGAAGTTGACAGTGAAGATGCGGACGATATTTCGACTTACGAAGATTCCCATTCAGGCACAACACGATACGAGTTACTAGTTCCGCCGCCGGATGTCGAAGAAGCTCTCCGACGAGCGAAGGCTACGGCTACAAAGTTTGATGTACGAGAGCAAATGGTTTTAGCTGCACCAACAAATTCATTTACACGGCAAGAGTTGTCCGAGCACATGATTCCAACATCAAGGTTTCAAAACTATTTAAAGCATCACCCTTCGTCAACACTCACCAGGGTCCGAGCTCGATACGTTGACACATTTAACTCGTCCAATTGAACTTTTAAATCTTACTCTCGTCTTTCATCTTGGTGGGAAATTGAGTCAGAAGAAGACTTACTTTGCTGCCTCTTGGACCAATCTTTTTCAGAATTAAACATACTATCAAGAGTGACACGATCATTTAGGTAGTGCTTAAGACATAGAAAATCAGAGGCGATGAAGGCTATCAAAAATTTCATGCAAATCTAGTACTTCATAAAACATTTACACATGAAATTGATTGAGCATGATTGGCATCCATCTTATAATACTGCACGTTGCGATCTACATACAAAACCATACTTGCACAGAATAGTGTCTCAAGGCTAGAAGGCATAAAGTACTTCAAACTCGGAAATTTAATTCCCGCCGACTTGAAAGCCACAAATTCAAAGTTATCGTACCCAACGCCGACTTCAGTTTGATTCCACGACCAAGATACCACAGTCTCGTCCATTTTGTTGTCCACTTTAAGATCTCTGAAGTGTTGTTGGTATCACTTCGTTTGAACCAATGTTCCCAAATATTGCCTAGGACCTATTCATTTGGGCTCACACCCCGCGACGGAGTTGCCGTGTACCTTGCGAAGAGGAAGCTTTGACTTAAAGATTACACGATACATACGCACAGACCAGAAGCGGACTAAGACTGTTTATTTGCTTTGCTATTTTCAGAAGTACACATTACAGTTTATGCTTATTAGACTGATGTTATATGTTTACATTTGTTTGCAGCTCCAGTTTGAGATGATCCCGAACTCTCAATACGGGATGTAATGAATAAAGTTAAAGTGCCAATCAGCATCAGCCTTAATTTGCGCACGGGGTGATGAAAGCATATCACCTCACTCGTCTGGGAGCTTACAAGCCAGCTTCAGCAAAACGAGCATTTACTAACGACGCTGTCTCATGTCGGGCTTTACAAGGTACAAAGCCTGACGTGGACACCAAGGTGACAACTTATCCTCTGAAGCTTCTGCTGTTTTGCAGCGGGGTTGCCGTAGCTTTGCGCTTAGAGGAAGCGTAACTTAGGTCACCGACCTTCCGTTCTATACTTATAACAAGTACGAGTTTAGCGGATCGCAATCCACTTACTCCAAGAGAAATTACAACCTTGACCCAAGGGTAATTGACTCTTCCGTTTAACTTCAAAATCTATATTTTTTATTTTTATCTGCGGCAAAGCCGCCTAATTTTAAATGCATAGATCTTCCTAAATACGTATAGTAAAATCTAAATACATGTATAACTACTGGCTATCCAGCCCCGTACCGTATTC